CAAGTCAAAAAATAGAAAAGAAAGTTGAAAATCATCTACCCCATAAGAAATTAACATCAATACATTTTAAAAACACCTACAGCTAAACAACAAAATGTATTCTTGATGTTAATTTCTTATGGGGTAGATGATTTTCAACTTTCTTTTCTATTTTTTGACTTGCTAATCTTAATAGTATTGTGTTTTTTGTTTTAAATTTTATACAGCTAAACAACAAAACGAATAATCTGATTAAAAAATAAGCAAAGGGCTTCAGCAGACATTTCTACAAAGATGATATACCAATGTCTAACAAGTTCATGGAAAAATGCTTAACATCATTAATCACTAGAGAAATGCAAAACCACAATGAAATATCATTTCACACCCAATAGAAAATAACAATTATTGACAAAATTGGAAACTTAGTATACTTTATGTGAGTATGTAAAGTGGTGCAGCCCATATTTAAAAAAAAGAAAAAAAAAGTGCAGTATCTTCTCAAAAATTTAAAATAGAACTACCATAGTATTCATAAATCCAAGTTTCATGAATATGTCCAAAATAATTAATAGCAGAATCTCAAAAAGATATTTCCACACTTGCGTTCACAGCAGCATTACTCAGAGTTAAGAGGTGAAAGCAACCCAAATGTTCAGCCATGAATGAATGGATAAATAAAATGTTGTATATACATACAAAGAACTAATATCCAACCTTAAAAAAAAGGAAATCTTGACATACGCTATAACATGGAACCCTGAGGACATTATGCAAAGTGAAATAAAACACTCACAAAATGACAAGTATTGTATGGTCCAACTGATAAGAGTCAAATTGTTAAAAACACAAAGTAGAATGGTCCTTGCCAGAGGCTGGGAAAAGGGGGAAATTGGGAGTTGCCATTTAATGGGCAGAGTTTCAATTTTCCAAGATAAAATACTTGTGGCTATCTCTTGCACAACAGTGTCAATATACTTAAAACTACATAAAGGCTAAGAAATGATTCAAATGGTAAATTTTATGTTATATACTTTTTACCAAAATTAAAAATAAGTTATTTTAAAAGCCAATAGCTGAATCAAAATAAAATATTTTTTAAGAATTAAATAATTGATAACAAGTCAGAAAATAAAAAGCAGAGGATTAAAAGGCAGATGAAGCAAATACAAATAGAAAATAGCAAAACAGCACACAAACATTAACAATAATTAGCTTAAATGGAATTGCATTAAATATTCTACTTAAGGCAAAGACTGTCAGATTGATAGGAAAGTAAGACCCAACAATAAGTTGTCCAGATAACTACACTTTAAATACAAAGAAACAGACTAAAAGTAAAATAATGAAAACATATCTACCATAGCAACACAAATTATGAAAATCTTAAGTGGAAATATTGATACCAGCAAAAGAATCTTCAAGACAAATTATATTACTAGCAATAAATGGAACACTGAAGGTTGTGGGCCACATTACCACCTCCCATAACATGGAAAATGGAAAAGGTATCTCACCATCTCAGGGTGTGCCAAAGGAGACTTTTGGGCACAAAAGGAGAAATGCTACTTGGCCCCTCTCTCTATCAGTGAGAAAATAAAAGGATGTTCAATTTTCAAACAGAATTTAGAGAAAATATGAAGGAGCCATGACTTGCTGAGTTTGAAATCAAATTATATTTCCACCCATTTTTCCCAGAAAAATATTTTCAAAGTTTTGTGGCAAGGATCAAATCCATTGTTTTCCAAAAAAGATTAAAGACCAAAAATATTTCTAGCTTCCTAAGTACCTTAGGATCTGACACATAGATAGTGCCTAGTAAAAAATAAAACTTCTAAGGAAATAGCCACCTTGGAGAGAAGGGGAGGTCAGAGAACAAAGGGCCTGACTCAGAATGTGTGGGGGTAGCATGGATCTAATGGATTTTGGCAGACTGGAAACCCATGTTTTTATGGCAGTGAATACACCAGATAATTTCCTGAGTCAAAAGGCCAGAGTCAGAAAAAAGTTTAAAAAGAAGGATGTTGGATCCCCCAACATACAATAACCAAAAATAGGTAAAGAAAGTCAGTCAACTGCAAACCCAACTATTCAAGAAAAAGACATATTGACAGAGAGTGGGGAGAGCCCAGAAGATACAGTGAAGAGGCACAAAGCATCCTTTCCAGGGACGGGGACTGAGCCCTAATGAAATACTAAAGCAGGTGCCTGAGGGGAATAAGTAACTACTCAGACCAGTGCCCTCAGGGTGCTGCCCCTTCTCACCAACCCTGTCTGAAGAAAAGTGCACACATGGTCATGCTTGTCTGTTCACTGTAAGCTGGATGTATGTTAAAAAGATGACAGGACACTGGCGCTTATTTAATTTGGCTTTTTGTCAACTGCACAGTGGTAGAATATTTCTAGGGCTCTTGAGAGGAGCAAAGTATATTTTGCATGCAGTACAAATTTATGGTCAGAGAGCAGACCGTGGTCTATTAAACAGTGCTGCAAAGTCTTGCTATTCCTCTTATTGACAGGTGGAATCTAATTGCCTTCCCCTTGAATCAAGGCTGGTCTTAGTGATGTGCTTGACTAAGAGAATACATTGGAAGAGATGCTTTGGTATCTGAGTGGAGATAACAAGAATCCTTGCGGCTTCTGCCTGGGCCTCTTGGACACTTGCTCTGGCAGAAGCCAGACAAACCTGACTACCCTGAGAATGCCACTCTGTGAGGAAGTCCAACATGGCCACAAAGAGAGGGCTGGATATCTGCTCAGTGTCCCCAGCCACTAGAGTTTTTCCAGCTCAGAGCAGAGACATTGTGTAGCATCAAACCCAAACCGCCCTGTCCAGTTTACTGACCCCAAACATTGTGACATGTAATAAGAAGATGTTCTTATTTTAAGCCATGAAGTTTTGTGATACTTTGTTGCACAGGAGATCACTGGAACACCAAAAAAGTTATTAGAGACCTTCGGTAGTACTTTGATTTGAAACATGAAGAGTGTGGGTTCACACTGAATATTAGATTCAAAACAAAGAATGAAACCATTTCACATCTTATATTAGGTCTCAAACTACAATTGTGAATGTAAATGTTCAGTTAACTGGTTTGTCAATTTTTATTCTTAACTAGCTGTTAGCTACAGTTCTACTTTAAAAACATACTGATGACTTATGCACACATCCATTTTTCTCATTTTTAAGTAATTACCTGAAATAAGAGAAGAATAAGACAATCTGTAAGAAAGTTTAAAAACATGATGGGTCTTATTTAACTGCAAACAGGTAACTGTATATTAATAAAAACTACAAATAGAATCACTGATGTAAATTTACAGAAGCAAAAGTAGACATTATGAAAATTTGTACTTTGTTTTTATTATTTCATGTCTTTTTACTGACTGTTGTTCAAACATGTCCCAGTCACTCATGAAATTTTTTCTCCAGGGACTCCTAATGATGTCACCACAGGTGCTGGCTAGCATAGGTCACCATGGATTGAACCTCAAAGCCCAGGAAACATTACCTTCAGGTTTTTATGAGAATGATATTTCAAGCAGAACAAAGTTACTGTCTTTATGAGTACAAACATCTCCCCCTATACTGATAGTGTATATAGAAATTAGAATAAGGGCCGGCCGGTGGCACACTCGGTAGAGTGCGGCACTCCCGCCGAGGGTTCAGATCCCATATAGAGACCGGTCCACTCACTGGCTGAGCGCGGTGTGGGCGCGACACTGAGGGTTGCGATCCCGTTGCCGGTCGTGGTACGGGCGCGACACCGAGGGTTGCGATCCCATTACCGGTCACGAAAAAAAGACAAAAAGGAAAAAAAAAAAAAAGAAAAAAAAGAAATTAGAATAAAATGAGTAGACCAAACAAACAAAAGTAGCAGGAAGTAACACAGATTAGACCCAAAAAACAGCGAGGAGTCCAGGAGAAATTTCATTTTGGTGGCTTGTGTCAGTGGTGGGGCGGTAGTGATAACACATATAAGAGAAGAGGAGGAAGTGGTTTTAATTTTAGATTTGTTGACACTGAGGTGATGTTTTGTTTTGTTTTTTTTCTGGCAGCTGGCTGGTGCAGAGATCTGAACCCTTGACTTTGGTGTTAAAACACCATGATCTAAACAACTGAGCTAACAAACCAGCCCCTTGAAGTGCATTTTGAATGGCTACAAACAAGCATTCAACAGAGTTCGACCTATGATCAAAAGACTAGGGAAGAAGCACAACCTGGAGAGAAAGAGGAGTACAAACTACAGAGGACTGAATCAGTGAGAAAGAATTTCACATGAGAAGAACAGGGCCCAGGATGAAGCACTTTGATAAGCTATGTTATAAAGAAGAAAGTAGAAGAATTCAGGAGAAAAGAGCAAAAACCATCAGTGAAGTCATGAGAGAAACTAATAAACTAACCCAGAGGAATTTCCAGAATATCATGAACAGTAGTTCAAAATGTAGCAGAAGACTCATGTGAGAAAAAGACTAGAGAATAGTCATTGAATTTGAGTACAACTTAGGTTATAATTCTAGGTTTTGCCTATGAATCTAGTACAGCCTTCCAAAGCCATGTGGAACTAGATTTTAGGAACTTTATAAAAAGCTTACTAAGCAACTTGTGCCTTAGAAGTTGGTATCTATTTCCACTGTGGAAAATGAGAAATGTTTATTTCCAGGCCGGCAGTGAAAAACTCTATAACACTGACGGTGTTACAGAATTTGGTGTCACCAAGTCTTCACACCCCAGGAGAATTTGGCAGATTCTCTTCTCAGGTTCCATTCCAATCATGTAAACAAGGTGTCTGCCTGTTTTCTATGACATCACAAAGACCAGAGAAAAATTTTTATTCAACTTAGGTGACTCTGAGGTCTTATAAACTGCTATATCTACATGCCAACTTTATCTTATGAACGTATATTTCTTTTAAGTTGAGTTTTACTCACCTGTATTTTTCAATTTTAATTTATGCATGCCATAAAGCTCATATAATACAATAGAAAAAGACTGAGTAATAAATAACAAAAAAACTCACCAGAGATTTACTCATCTTTTGTTGCTCTTGTAAACCCATAGCGCACTCTGGCAGCATAGCTAGGAGAAAAGAGAATGGAGTGGATTAAGGAGAGAACTGCTGTGGCTCTACATTCTCCTTCCCAAAACTCTACTTATTAGCTGAAAAAGACAAACAAAAAGCCTTCCTGTGAGAGAACAGTCCTTCACAACTTAATAAGGGGCAACAAGACCCCATTAAAGATGTGGCTACAAGTACATTAACGGCTACACATTACACATACAATTTATTTTGGGGTCAATGAAAACATACATAGCCTACTGACTTAGCATGACTCAATATTACCCAAACATATAACTTAATAACTTAAACCAAAGAAAAACACACTGTGGCATCACTAGAATTAGTGTTGTAGAAATCATTTGGCTGTATTAACTGTTACCCTATTAATATAGTAAGTTCACACGTGACTCCAAAACAGTGTTTCCATTACAACACATCTTCCTTTTATGTACCTAAATATCTGGATATTGTATATCTTGTAACCCAGCACATGTTGCTCATGATTATACATGTAAACAAATTACACATAATGTATATTTCTTCTGGTACACTGATCTCCCTGTACCCAAGCCCTCATATAGCATGCTCTGACAATGAACTAGTCTTTGTCATGTGATCTGCTTTGGACACTAGTACATTAGAAAATGTCATGCAAACACAGGTTTGAAAAGTACTGGCCATTGGTGCTTGCCTCTTAAACACAGTCATACTGTGAAGAAGGCTGGGGAGACACAGGGCCCAGCCAAGGATCAGCACAAGCCACAGGACATGTGAGTAAAGCCATCTTTAACCAAACAGCCTCAGTCAAGATACCAGGTGACTAAATCCACATTTGTAATCAAGGGAACACTAGAATGAGAACTGCCCAGCTAAATGCACCCCAAGATGTAGATCCATAGAACTTCAGAAAAAATAAGATGGCTGGGTTTTAAGCCATTGAGGTTTGACTTGTTTCTTACATAGCAAACACTGAATGATACACCTAAGTCCCCAAAACTCAAAACATATTTAACAAAATTACGTGGGGGAGAAAGTCTTAAATTACAAGTCAAACACATTCAATATACCTTCACAACCACAGGTAGAAGTTTTGAAAAATCACAATGAATGTTGGGCCGGCCCAGTGGCGCACTGGAGAGTGCGCCGCTTGGGAGTGCGGCGGTGCTCCCGCCGAGGGTTCGGATCCCATGTGGAGACCGGTTCCCGCTCACTGGCTGAGCGCGGTGCGGGCGCAACACCGAGGGTTGCGATCCCGTTACCAGTCAGTAAAAAAGACAAAAAGGAAAAAAAAAATCACAATGAATGTTAACCACATGTATTTCAGTGAAGTTTCTAGCCCTAATAGAGGCTATGGGATTCATAAAAAACAATTGTTTGTACGTCAGTAAACTAAGTTGTAAGTTTTGTTTTATATTGTTTTTTACATCACATACAAGTTGTTTAAAAACATACAACATAAAAACGGTGTTCCTTATAAGAGAGTAATGCACTGTACCAGGGTACTTTCAAAAGTTTGAGGAAAAATAGAATGTAAAGAGAATAGAAATCCTTCCATGAACTTTTTGAAGCACACTAGCATTTTAATTACATTTAAGAAATTGGTTTTGAGTAGAAGAGATGTGCAGTCTAATTTTCCCATTTTAAATAATGTAAAATTGCCTCCAATATATTCCTGCAAAAGTTCTGATTTTAAAGAATAGCTTACTGACATTAAGTGAGAAATACATTATTTACCCTTTGAGGTGACATAATCCAAAGAAAGTACTGGAGTTAAAAAAGGATAGAGATGTTTAAGGTATGTATGTTAAAGCAATGTTTACTCTAAGTTGACTTCAGCATTACAAAAATAATCTCAAAAATGAAGAAACACTTGTTTTGACTTAAATGTGGCAAAATGGAAAATGCTAGCCAAAAAGTCAGGATGTCTAACATCAACAAATCGTGTGACCCTGGGCAAGTCACATTTCCTCATATCCAATTATTTTCACTTTTCTTATAAGGCAGAAATATGGGGAAAACCATTCCTGAATGACCAGAAAAGAACTATGAAAACAGAGAACCATCAGCACATCTCTAGATGCCAAATTTGGCCATAGGCTGGGTTTGAGAGCTCAGACACTGGGAACAATGAGGGAAGATTGAAGGAATGGGAGTGTATTCAGACAGCACTATAGACAGATCCTCTCAGCTGGGACAGGTTATTCCTGCACTCCACAGAACACCTTCAAACCCTCTTCAATAAGTAACGCCTCCTGGGTCCTTGCCTCTCTTTCTCAGTCTAACTCACTTCTCCCTTCTGAAAGTTGGCCCAAACCTTCCAATATCATCCAGTCTCAGATAGCTATTGAATGAGGTATTATCAGCCAGCTCTGGTGCGCTCTAAGCACTAGACACAATCATTGTTTAGGGTGTGCAAAGCTAAGATCTTCACCTTTCTGGGACTCTCTTTGCCTCTGCTCTGAAGCAGTACTGAAAGGGTTCCGGCCACAATGATGCTCCCCCAGGTGGGATTCCTATTCACAGGACACCGTCCTTCATAGTTTGCCACACCCCCTTCACTCCAAAGAAAATGGGACCAACATCCAGTGCCCCAATCTCCTTCCTAGAAGTCACTGTCCTGGAAACAAGGTCGCGTATCAACTTCTGTAAATTCAAACCAGGAGCGCCAGGCCGGCCGCACAGGGCAGAAAGGACCAGAAACGTGACTTGCTGAAGAGACACGAGACACCCCACGACCACAGCAGCCACAGAGTGACAGTCTGCACACACCTCACAATCCTAGATTCACCTCTGGAATCTGGGGCATCACACTAATGTCCACACGCTCACGTTACAGATGGTGAAGTGAATGTCCCACAGGTCGGTACCAGGTTCCTGATGGCGGAGCTCGAACGTGACCTCCCCACACCTCCCAGGCTCGCTGTCTTCACACACAACCCCCACGTTCCCGTCGCCACCTCGGACCTGAGCTCCCGTCCTCGGACATCTGGAACCGGCTTCTACACACCCGGCAGCACCGTCCTCTGACGGAGCCATCGTGGAAAGCGCAGCCCGGGCGCCCCTTCCCCGGCCCGGCCCAGGTCCGCGCTCGCGCCGCACGTCAGACCACGCCCGCCCGAGGCCCAGGGCGCTTCTGCCCGCCAAGTGCCGCGACACCGTCCCACTCCCCAAGGCCCCCGAGGCCCGCGGGCTCTTCTTTCACCCTCGTACCCACCCTCGGGACGTACAATCCAAACCCACGATTTGAGGAGGAACGCAGGGACAGCAGCAGGGACAGCGGCAGCTTCCGGAATTTCCAGACAAAAGATGGCGGAGTGGGCGGAGCCGCACATGCTCAGAAGAAATCCGGAGAAGCCCTTCCCATAGTCCTGCGCTGGTGTCGTCATTGCAGGGCGAAACTACATTTCCCAGATGACCGAGCGAGTGGAGCCCCTTGTGTACAGAAGGAAGTTGGAGCAGCTGTTTAGTCCTCCTGTGCTGCTGACGTCACTGGAGGGCGAGACTACATTTCCCACAAACCTCTGTGGTCATCCTTTAGGGACCAAAGGAGAACATTTTGTTTATTTTCTCAGCAGGTATTTTTGCTACCAGGAGAACAGGACCTGATGGATCAAGACTGGCCTCTTTCCACGTTATTACGAGGTAGAATTCTGATTTTTTACTAAATCCTGGTTTGACAACCTGGGGCGTTGTGAGAATAACAGGGAAATTCGGATGTGGGCCAATTACCGCATGATATTAATAAGTATAATTTTACTTTTTTTAGTTGTCATCTATTTTACTGTAAATGGTTAAACAAGTGAGAAATTAATATGGTAGCTTTCTTCCAAGCCATTAGAAAATGTTTGTTCTCATCCAATAAACTAATTTGTCTTCAACGGATTGTACTACACAGTTGGAAAAGGTTTGTCCCTCTCTCCCAGATAAAGAACTGGTTATTATTACAATCTATTGATGTGACCCTATTAAATTCTAAATTTTAACCCTACAGCCATTGTAGGGCAATGTGCCATGTATTTGCCACCTGAAACAGACTAATACTAACCAGACTCATAGTAATGCAGCTAACATGAGACCTTGGTTTCTGCCTCACGTTGTGAATACTCCCTTTTCTCCTGGGTCTCCCTATATTCCTCCTAGATACCACTTCCTTTGCAGCAAGGACACCTGATACAGTGTGTTTCAAATTAACACATCATGCATTTTAGGATTCATATTTTGAGTCTTGTCTGTATGCAGAAGTTTTAATTCTATAAATTGGCAAGGCTGGTAATTAAGATTCAGATGGGAGTTCCAAAAGGAGGTCACCTCGATCATTCCGACCCTAGATAATCTGGTTCATGTCTCTCCTCTAGCTTCTGGCAGTGTACTGAAAGTCTTGGACATCCCTTGGCTTATAGAATCATCGCCCTGATGTTTGCCTTCATCTTCCCATAATGTTCTCCCTGTGTGGTCTGTGCACAAATTCCCCCTATTTATAAGGACATCAATCATACTGGGTTAACTAATTACAGCTGCAATGGCAGTACTGCAAAATAACATCACGTTCTGTGGTAGTGTGGTTTAGGACTTTAAGATATAAATTTGGGGGAAGGGTGAACACAATTTAACTCATGAGAGAAACTTATCACTAACTTCAGCAGAAGCTGTGAATGATAGCACCTCCTCACTAAATGGAGTATAACAAGTCTCCTGTTGGTATGAACAGAGACAGCCCATCACATTACTCTAGATTTCATGTTGGCTACTTGTATGGGTTTGCTTGGGCTGCCATACAAAACCCCACAGACTGAGCACCTTAAACAACAGACATGTATTTTCTCACAGTTCTGGAGGCTGGATGTTGAAGATTAAGGTGCTGGCAGGTTTGGTTTTGTCTAAGGCTTTCTCCTTGGCTGACAGATGTTTGCCTTCTCTCTTCCTCTTCACATGGTTATCCTCTGTGCACAATCACCCCTGGTGTGTCTATGTATGTCCTAATCCCCTCTTGTTGTAAGGACAACAGTCAGATTGTTTTTGGGCCCAGACTCATTTTAACCTAACCACCTCTTTAAAAACCCTATCTCAAAATGCATTCACCTTTTGAAGTTCCTGGGTTTTAGATTGCAAAGTAATTTGGAGGGTGTGGAATAGACTATAAAGCATATGTACTTCACAGGGCCTGGTTTTCCAAAGCCTTGCAGTTTCAAATATTGACCTTGCAAGGACTGGAAATTTTCCTCAGGCTATAAGTCTCTGGTTTAAGATAAAGAATTGTGGCACAGCAGGTTGCTGGCTCAAAAACAGACTAGTTACTGATTGTTATGTAAAGATACTGAGAAATGGCTTTAAGAAGGAATGTTTGCTAAGATCAAGCTTGTGTTGATAAGATCACTTAATTGTCTACTGGAATGTCATCTGGCTTGTTTCACTGAAAGTTACCAGGCTATATTGTTAAATTATAACCCCACCTTTGTTCTCTTCCTGTAACTTCCTGGTCTGGAAAATAAATGCAGGAAGAGAACCCCAATTTGGTGTTAATTTTCCCGAGGAAGGAATCCCTCTTGCTGGAGGGTCCCGAGAAATTTAACCACTTCGGGGCTTCTCACTGCTGAGTAGACATGGGCTTTGAGTAATCCTTTGCATCTCCATCACCCAGGGGAAGTGGGGTGACAAATCTGTGGGGCACGAAGCAACACAAAGCAGCATTGGGGTGTGGGAGGAGAGGACAGAAAATAGCCCATACAATAGTCAGGGTGGTGTCCGTGTCATTACTAATATTTAGATAGATTTTAACTATGCCCATCCACTCAGATATCTGCCAGGCACCTCAGGCTAGGAAGGTCATATCCGGGACTCTGACACACATTTTTCTTGTGACCCGTCTCCTGGAGGTGGCACTCTTCTCTCAAGCAGAAGTCTTATAAACCCAGATCGCCTCATTCCCTACCTCCCACCTAGTGGTTGCTGCTGAGTTTCTCACTGGACAAATGTCTCTTTTTTTTCTTTTTGTATAAACTGTGTTCTGAGAAGTTCATGATATCCTGGTCTAACAAGATCTTGGATGGGGGTGGAGAGTTCTATTGGGCAGGACTGCCTCCTGGGAGGATTGGTGGTTCTACCCTTCAGAACCTACTCTCTCTGGCTTCCCTGCAACCAAGTGCCCTTGACTCAGAGTCATACCCTGTATCTTGAAAAGGACCATCTTGGTTTACATAAATAGGGGCTTCCCCCTAAGCATCTCTCCTTGCCTACTTATACCACTCCACACTGGTCCCTTCAACCTCCAGGCGCTTCTACACTTGAAAGATTCTGGTGCCCCAGAACACTTCAGTCCTGGACATGCAGGACAATGGTGGCCAGTTGGGCAGTGGGGTTTCCACCTACAGTGTGGATGTGCTCAGGCTGGACTTCACTGGACAGTGATTACATCAGGCATGGTGGGGTGCAGAAGTCCTGAGTGCCTCTCACCATGAATTAAACATGCCCTTGGCTCCAAGAATAGAGCCTGTCTAACTGGCTCTTTCTAGAAGGGGAATCTGTGCTCTGAGGACACCTGGACCTCAGTGTGACTAAACTGGCCCTCAAGCTCTTTTTCTGAATCTGGACTTGTCAGTATCCCCTTCTTCAGACAGCAGGACCAGCATCTAATCACTCAGTGGAGACAGACGTCCAGATTTTATCTCCAAAATCTCCTTTATCCTCACTGCCCACACCTGTGTAGTCAGCAGTTCTGCCCTAAAGGGCTTTCTTTCCATCCACAAATTTCTCATTTTGGCCACTGTCTTTGGAAGTTGGGATGATACCAACTTCCAATTGGTCTTGCATCTAATTCTTTCTTTTTTCTTGTAAGCTGGCCAGTACAAGTATCAAACCCTGGACCTTGGTGTTATCAGCAAAATGCTGTAACCAACTAAGCTAACTAGCCAGCCCCTTATATTAAATCTTAACCCTAACCTCTAACACCTAATATTTAACCCCTAACCCTTTCCCTAACACACCATTATCCTCAACTCTATCCACTGAGCCTAAACCCTAAACCCTAAACAAACCCTATTACCATAATCCTTAACTCCTAACATGTGATACACATTTCCTATCCCTAAACCCTACCACTTACCTCCAATTCCAACTCCTAAACCCAACACTTTCCCCTAAACTGAAACCTAACCCCAACCTTAATGTAACCTAAATCTAAACCTTGAACTCTAATAATAAGCCTCAACCCTAACCTCTAAATCTAACCCCAACAGCCAGCCTATCCTTAACCAATGACATTAACCCTAGCACTTAACCCTACCCCAAGTGTAACATTAATCTCTAACCCAACCTACCTAACCCCTAACCACTAATCCTAACCCTACTCACTAAAACCAACTATAACCTCTAGTCCTAACCCCATCCCCTAATCCTATCTCCAACCCCTCTCCCTAATTCAACCTGAACCTGAACCTCAACATCAACACCAACACTAACCTTCACTCTACCCGAGTGGTGTTGTGCTCTGGGCATCGGTTTCCTCTTTTCCCAAAGCTCACTCTAAGTTTTCCACACATGAGTCTCCTGTTGGCCCCCACCCTCCTGCGTTCTTTCCCACCTACCTTTTGCCCTTCACCTTCACAGAACCCGTTCATGCTGCATTCTTTCTGCTCTGGCCCCAGAGCACCCCTGGACCCGACATGAGCACCTGCTCGTTCACTTGGGGAGGTCTGTACTCCTCTGCCACCTCCTTGGGTTTACTTTTATTCCTGTTATTATCACCAACATGGTCGTTGCTATTAAAATCATCACTGTTATAATTATTAACATTTTCATTTTTGTCATTGTTGAAGAATTATTGAACACAGCCTTGTGGTCAAGTTATCCTGGGTTCTATAACTGAGTGGACACCCCATTTGGGTGAATCCCTCCCAAAAGTTTAAGGTTCTATAACTGAGTGGACACCCCATTTGGGTGAATCCCTCCCAAAAGTTTAAGGTTCTATAACTGAGTGGACACCCCATTTGGGTGAATCCCTCCCAAAAGTTTAAGGTTCTATAACTGAGTGGACACCCCATTTGGGTGAATCCCTCCCAAAAGTTTAATGAAAGTGAGTTGTGGCCTTGGTCCCTCAAGCTGATGTGACTTAGGATCTGGGAACAGACTAATTAAGGAGTTAGGATTTACAACTAGCAATTGAGTAAGGGAGTACAAAGAAGACAGCTGGGCAGGACGGGATGTAACCTAAGTGATGAGGACCATAAAACAGAGTCACTGAGCTCCAGGGACAGGAGACATTATCTTGACACACATCCCCAAGATGTCTTTATAGGACAAAATCCAGAACATTCCCAGCCCTTGCAACTTGCTGAGGAGGTGAACTGTCAAGAACACAGATTGATAGGAGCCTGGTAAGTGATAAAGGAAACTCAGAGTTGTGTCTTTGTTCGTGGAGATCCTGTTTCTCTGTGTTCAGAGACGCAGCCACTCAGAACAGTCAACTGGTGACTCACGCAGCCCCTTCCCCAACCCCCAACACTTTCTTTAAAACTCCCTGCCTGTGCATGTTCTCAAAGATCAGGATGTTTCTGAGCTTTAGCCACCTGGACTGCATTACTCGGTCTTGTATTAAAGCTTAATTTCCCTCACTGCAACTTGTGCCAGTGTTCTGGCTTTAGCTGCACATCACGTGAAGTGACACAAACGTGGTTCTATTACTCTTGCAGCTCACAGCTGGCCATGTCTCAGCCCTGTGACAATTCAGCTCACATCAAGACCTCTTGGAGCCTCGGTGCCCTCTATGACATGGGGTCAGTGGCTCTGTTCTCATGGAGGAGGTTGGACATCCAAGCTTGCCTGACCATGTGACCCCACTTTTTCCCACTCCAGAGAGGGGAGGCCTGCAGTGTGGGGATGGTCCAGGCAGACACACTGGAGAAGCTGCTGGAGCAGCCACCTGGGCATTGACCCCCTCCCACATCCCCACCTTCCTGTGCTCCTGCTGAGCCCTCACCTCCACCCACTGGGTACTGGACCTGCTGCTGGGAGGGTGAGCACCGCTCCTCTATGGCACAGAGGTGACCCAGCTCCAACTAGCTGTGACTATACCTGAGCTGTTTGCACCTGTGAAAAGTGGGTGCCAAAAGGACCAGACCAAGAGGATCATTGCAGGGACCAGATGGAATGAGCCATGGAAAGTGCCTACCCAGTGTCTGCCCCTGCAGAAAGGACTGGAACATTGCTCATGTTAACTATTTCCCTCTCCCCCATGAAGCAGCCCCTGCCTCAGCTCTCACTGGCCACTGGGTTTGGTTAGCATGGGTTTTTCATTTGTAAGAGGTTTGGGATTCCATCTAGAGGTCCCTGGGGGCAGGCAAAGGGGCCCAGGTCCACTCAGGTATCTGGGGAGGTGCTGATTGGGGTTTATTCATTCAACAAGCATATATGAAGTGCCTGTGATGTACAGTCACTTTTGTAGGCACTTTGCATAATCCATCAAACAGAACAGACCAAATTCCTGTCCTCCTGGGCTTCCCCTGTAGTTGGGCGTCAGCCAGTCCCAGTAGGGGTCATAGCAGATCTTGTCCAGACCACAGATGTGCCACCCTCCTGTAGATTTGGATGCAGCCTCCCCTGTTGTGACAGGGATAGCAGACCTCAGTGTTACCAAACTCAGGTCCACCTGCCCACTCCCTGGAGGAGAAAAAAACCCTCAGAAGTCAAATGGTTCATGTTAGAAAAGCAGATGTATTTAGCTGAAGGAGATGGTAGGCTACCCCATCTGAAAGATTTAGATTTACTGAGGGGTTCCTAAATGATGGCTTGAGGGAATGCAACATGGGAGCTGAAAAGCAGGAGAGAAGGTTTCCTGAGCCATGAGGAGTCCAAGTCTATGAGTCAGGAGGTTTCAAAAACGCTTCTTCTGGTTTCTGTTCTCACCTTCACTGTTATCTTGGGACCCTGCAAGATTTTCATTTGCTCCTGTGTAGAATCACCTTTTCTGCAGTGTTTGCACAGTTTCACTTCACAGAGCTCTGGTTGACTTGGCTGGTGGCCAAGGTCAGCTTCCAGTCGTTTGGCCTTAATCATTTCTCAAAACTCTACAAGGGTCAGTGAAAGAACTGTTAGTTAGCTTTGCAAAGTACTGATTAGCTTCTCAGCCTTGTTCTCCTCTTTAGCAAGCAAGATAAGAAAGTCAGGGGATAGGAAGAAAGAGTGGAGAGAGAAAGAAAAAACTGTCCTTTTAAAAATCCCCTGCCCCTTGCAGCCCAGGGGATTTTAGTTCCCAACATGGCTTCAGTCCTGCTCGCTCCAACACCAGGACCAGCTGGAAATGTGAGTGGACTCTTGGTCATGGCTGAGGGTCCTGACAGTTCCCCCACCCCACACACCTTGTCATTCCCACTGGAGGGTCAAGGTCTGGGGCTCCCCCTGCAGGAGGGAAAGAGTCATAAAGCTAAGGACCAGGTCACAGACACCCTGGGGATGAGAGCCAGGCCCTGCCAGTATCAATCCCCACCCATGACTTGATGTGGGGCCCAGGACATGGTGAGCCTCCTCCTCTCACATCAGCCATTCACCTCAGTCCTTTGTGCCCAGCTGCATATGGGGCTCAGGTGGCTACAGTCACCAGTCCTGAGAATCTCCTCAGTGGGAAGATGAGAATCTACATAATAGGGAGCACATTGGTCCATCAACTGCAGGTTGAGATGCCTCAGGGTCCCTGTGAAGGGTGGACAGGGATGTGTCGGGCCTTAAAAACTAATGCCACCTTAAGTGACGTTACAAGCGGCACCATTATGGGCCCACAAGGGTGTGTTAACGTGGCAGCCTAAGATAGCGCTGGGAGGAAGTAGGGTGGGAGTGTCTGCGGGAACCTTGCCTTAGCCCTTATGGGCCAAATACATGCTTCTGCGCTCATGAACACTGCGTGATTGCAATAGCTAGGCATTGAGACAGGATGCATGCTCTTGTAACCTTTAAGCTGATTGGAGGATGTAAAAACCTCCCTTCCCCATTTGCCTTTAAAAGCAAGTGCTTGTGTGATAATAAACAGAACTGCTTGACAGAACCCCCACTGCATCTGAGCGTCCTTTAATGGGCTGGTTGGGGCCGGCGGCTGTGCTCACCTCTCTTCATGGCTCTTTTCCCCCATCTCCTTCCAACAGGGACTGGAGGGAAAGAGGAATCCGGACAATTCGCTCGCCCACCAAAACGGACACCTAGGGAAAGACTGATAACGAGGCTAGGGCTGTTCGGGTCGGCCAGCGGCTGACCCGACAGCGATGGACTCTGCTTGTTTTCTTTCTCAGAGAGTGACAAGGCACCTACTGTGTGCAGCCAGTGAAGGAACAGAGCACACACTGCCCCTCCTTGCCCAGGAGACAGACAGGAGTGTGGCAGGATACCCTGATGATGGGGAGAGGTAGCCACTAATGGAGCACTCCCTTGACAGAGGTTATCTGCCAGCCCCTGGCAGGTGGCCAGCCCTGCCACTGCCAGAACAGCCCATGGGCTAGGGTGGGGAGCTGGACAGTGGTTGGGTGGGGCAGGCACAGCCCCCACAATGGTTGTTATGTGGGGCTGTGGGGAAGGAGAGCCCAGGCCTTTGACTGTGCCACCCACCCACCACCCATAGTACCAACTCTCCATCCTGAGTGTTGGCTGGACCAGGACCTGGAAGGTGTCTCTCTGCCCCCAGCTCCCCTGCCTCCAGATGCAGGTGACCTACTCCAGCTCTACATGCCCGATATGGGCCTGCAGCACTGTGCCCACCTCTTCCTTGCCTCGCTGCAACCCCAGGGAATGTGGAAGCAGAGCCAGATGGGCAGGAGGGCTGGGGAGGGTGAATGTGAGCATGTGATGAGGGGACGGGGCTGGGCAACACAGAGGAGCCTCCAGAAGCAGACAGACCAGACCCTGTGAACTCAGATGTCCTGGTCTTCACCTAAGGGAATGCTGGGAGGGTCTAAAAAACCAAGTCTTGACACCACCACCCAGCTTCTGGTCCCCGGCAGGCTTGCTGCAGGGCACATGGACCAATATGCTCCCACCTGGGCACCTCCCATTGGATCCAGAGTCCCCATTCTTGCTGGGCAGCACCTGAGAACAGGGAATCAGGAATTGTCCATGGGTCTCCAGGACCCCATCAGATGCTAAGCAGAGGAGCTGGCCATGGGGACTCTGAGGCCATGAGGCCCAGCAGGGGGCATGTCTTGGGTCTCATGGGTGAGGACCAGTTTTATTTCTGGGGGGCCTTAAAGCAGGGAGGCTACATTCTGGCCACTCCTTTTAGGGTGCCCCATTCTCTGGCAGGTGCTAAAGGAACATGGTGCCACAGGAGCTCACAGCCAGCACCGCCCCAATCCCTGCCATGTCTGTGGGCACTGACCAGGGCCTCCTGCACCAGGTCCAGTGCCCTGGGGTGCCAATGTGGGACACGCCATGGACCCCAGCCATCTGTCGCCTCCTGACAGTGCCATCTCAGTAGGGAAGAGGGCGCTGAGCTTGGGTCCTGCAGTCTACAGCTGACCCCAAGCATTTGAGCCCAGGGCAGGAACGTGGCAGGGAGTGACACAGATGGGCCGGGACCTCAGCAATGCTGCAGGAAGCCCCTTCCCATGCCACGTCTCCCAGAGGGATGGTCAGGAGGGGGGCTTTGCTGTCCTTCTGCTGGGGACAGGGACGACTGCCAGCATGGGACCCGGCAGCCTCAAGCTTGTCATGGGTGGAGCGCCCACCTCCCAGGCTGTGCACTGGCTGCTGCCACCTGCCGGGCACAGACACCGCAGCCTCCTGTGTGGCCTCATCTGCTTTTTTTTTTTGTAATCTTTTAATGTGATGGATTACATTAATTGATGTTCAAATGTTAAGCCAGTTTTCCACGCTTGTGATAAACCATACTTTTGTAGTTTTCATAATTTTTACACATTGTTAGATAAGGTTTTCTAATATTTTGACGGGGATTTCTGCATGTTTGTTCATGATAGATAATAGTCTATAGTTTTCTATTTTTCTAATACCTTCATCTGGTTTTAGTATGGAGGTAATCCTGTTCTTATTAATTAAAATTAGGAAGTATTCCATGGGGTATGAAATTGGTTTAATTTTTTTTAGAAGATTTGGTTGAATTCACCAGTGAACACACCTAGGCTGGGTGCTTTCTGTTTTGAAGTTTATTAATTATTTACTCAACTTCCTTAATAGGTATGCCTATTTAGATTGTGTATGTATTTCTTTGGTGTGAATTTTTGTAAAATGTGTCTTTCCAGGTATTTGTCCATTTCATCCAGGTTATCAAATATGTGCACATACACTTGTTAACAGTATTTCTCTTTTTATTATAATTTGGATGTCCACAAGATGTGTAGTGATGTCTCCTCTTTCATTTCTGATATTAGTAATTTCTGTCTTCTCTTTTTTTCTTAGTTAAGTGGGCTATAGGCTCATCAGGTTTATTGGTCTTTTTAAAGCACCAGCTTTTTGGTATTATTGATTTTCCTTATTGTTTTTCTGTTTTCAATTTCATTTGTTGTTGCTCTAATTCTCATTATTTCTTTTCTTCTGCCCTTTAATTTGTCCTTTTTTCTCTATTTCCAAAAATGAAAACTTAAATTATTGATTTTAGACTTTTTGCTAATATATGCATTCAATTTCATGTTTCCTTCAATGCACGTTGTTTGCTGTATTCCACAAATTTTTGTAAGTTCTGTTTGCATTTTCATTTAGTTAAAAATATTTTAAAATTTGTCTTTAGATTCTTTTTTGATCCGTGTATTATTTAAAATATGTTGCTTAATCCCACTCTATTTGGTGATCTCCCAGTTATCATTCTGTTCTGATAGCACATGTCGTGGTATCAGAGCATATATTTTAAATTCATTGTGGTCTGAAAGCATGCATTGTATGACTTCTATTATTTTAATGTCCTAATGTGTGTTTTGTGGCCTGGAATTTTTGTTGCCTACACAATGGGATGCTTAGCGGCTTTTTGTTGGGGCAGGTGACATGGTTGGGGGTCCTGAGGCTGTGGGTGGAAACTCAAACTCCTGGGAGATGTGCTAGTGTGCTCAGTGCTTCCTCAGATGAAGTGTGTGACACTGGACAAGGTGGCTGGGGTTGCCATTAAACATTGTTTTCCAGGAGAGGTGATGTGGCAATTGGCTCTTCATCAGCTAAAGTAGGTGGGATCTACATGGTAATGGGTGGGACTGCAGACCTCTGGGAAAAGCACTGGAGCAGTCTTCAGCTCTTTATCTGGGAAAGGTTGCTGGGGCTGCAGCTGGGACCTCAGACTCTCTGCAGAGGCATTGGGGTGTTCTGAAGCAGCTCAGTTGGAGTGAGTGATGCTGGGTGGGCTTGCTGGTGCTGCATCTAGGATCTGTGCCCCTGAGAGAGGTGCTGGGTATTTTTGAAGTTCCCCAGTTTAAATGTGCAACACTCGAGGAATTGTTGGGGTTGTGACCAGGACTTCGGATTTTGAGAGAGACAATCAGGCACTCAGCAGCTCCTCAGCAGAAGTGGGCACACTGGGTAGGGTCACAAAGAATTCAAGTGAGACCCTGCACCTTCAGGAGAGGATCTGGAGTGTTTTTCAACTTTTCAGCTGGGGTTGGCGATGCTGAGGGGGGTCTCTGGTGCCACAGCTGGCTTGGATACTCTTCCTTCTGTGCTGACATCTCGAGTTTTGAACCTCAAGGGGCCTTTTTTACTATTTTCCTTAATTCTGATGTTTTCTCCTAGACACTCTATTCAACATATGATTATCTATTTGTTCTTTTGAACTCTCTTTGTGTCAGAGGTGAGAGCTTCGTGCCCCTAGTCAGCCATCTGGATCCCTGTTACAGTATTTTTGATTTGTAGCATTTCCTTTTAGTTCTTTTGAAAAACTTCGATCTCCTTACATTGCCCATCTGTTGTTGAATGTTTTCTACTTTATTCACTTGAGTTCTTAGCATATTAATCAGGGTTTCTGAAAATTTTTGGTCTGATAATTCCAAAATCATAACCAAGTCTGTTTTTTATTCTTGTTCAGTCACTCAAATTGTATTTTTAAAAAAATTTTTTTGGTTTTTTTTGTTTTTTGTCTTTCAGAATATCCAGTAATCTTTTCCCTTATAGTCAGATGTGATGGAGTAGGTAAAAGGAAGTGCTGCAAATATGAATTCAGTATTGTGTTCATAAGATGTGTAGAATGAGAAGTTATCTTACTTTGCTTAAGCTGCTTAACAAAATACCTTAGAGTGTGTAATATACAAGCAATAGATATATACTGCTCCCAGTTCTAGAGGCTGGAAAGTCTAAGATCAATGCTCCAAGAGATTTAATGTCTGGTGATGACTTATTTCTTACAGATTGCACCTGCCATGTGTCCTCCTATGGTGAGAGAAACAATGAAGCTTTTCTTGGCCTTTGTAGGCCACTAATCTGTCTAATGACTTAATCACCTTTCAAAGGCATCACTTCTTAATACTAGTGCACTGGGGATTAGGTTTCAACATATAAATCTCGAGGGGACACAAACATTCAGACCATAGTGGAATTGTTTAGTTCTATGATTAAGTCTCTGCAGTGGATTGAATTATGTCCCCTCCCAAACTCCCTGAAGCTTGAATTGTGTACCTCAAGTTTTATGTATTAGAAACTTAGCCCCCACTGTGACTGTTAAGAGGGTGGGAAATCCTATTATGGTAATTGAAAGGTGTGCCCTTGAAGAGATGATTGGATTGTAGGACCGTGCAGTAGTGAGTGGATTAAAGATGGTGGTCAGGGGCGTGGTTCTGAGGGCTTTAAAAGGAGAGGAGAGTCTGTCTCTCTCTCTCGCTCTCTCTGCTTCCACCATCTTGCAGTGTGACACCCCTGGGTCACTGTCACCACCACCAGATGGACTTTGGCCTTCCCAGCCTCAGAAACTGTAATCAATAAATTTTGTTTTTCTTTATAAAGTACCCAGTTCCTAGTATTTTGTTATAAACAACAGAAATGGACTAGCATGGTCTCCATGTCTTAACGAGCTTCTCTCTTTTGACTGAATTCACAACTGTTTCTCAACTTATTATTTATTCCTTTTCCCTTAGACAGGGTGGCTGGAGTAAGCTGAAATTGGATAATTCTCTTCTTCCATGTGGAATCCTAGAATGGGTTTGAGTTGGGTAGTTTCCTTCACCCGGGTCAGTTAGGCTCTGATAATGGTACAGCAGGTTAGGCTCTGGTTAAGTAGTTTCCCCTGAGAGTATGTCTTGTTAAGAAGAACTGAGTGCTCTGGCATGTTTCAAAAGGATTTTCTTTTTCCCCTATCACAGGTGGAAACAAGAGGGAGTTTTCTTGACACTTTTCTGTAGGAACCTGGCCCAGCTCTTAGAGGTAAATTTCACAATATTGTGGTGTCCACCTATAACTGGGTTCCCTTGGAGATTTTTTTTTTTTTTTTTTTTTGTCTTTTGTCTTTTTCCGTGTCCGGCAATGGATCGCAACCCTCAGTGTTGCCCCCGTACCAGACCGGGGACCGGCAATGGGATTGCAACCCTCGGCGTTTCCCCCGCGCCTCGCTCAGCCAGTGAGCGGGAACTGGTCTGTATGTGGGATCCGAACCCTCGGGCGGGAGCACCACCGCGCTTCCCAAGCGGCACACTCATCCAGTGCGCCACCGGGCCGGCCCTCCCTTGGAGATTTTTAACCCTCGGTGTTGTCCCCACTGAGCCTCTGGCAACTTATGAGTCACACTTTAGGTTTTCCTGCTCAGGCACAGGTTCCCAAGGCAGTTTCTGCTAGTAGGTCCCTGCTCCTATAAGCCACGACTCTGTACTTGCCTGTCTGCCTCTCTAATCTTGGGGGCTGCAGCTTACCTTGTGA